TATATATATTTATTGTTTTAACGGATCTTGTGAGCCGCCCAGAATCCTCCATTAGGGGGAGATGGGCAGAGATAAATCAAATAAATAAATAAATAAACGGACTAACATGAATTGCATGCTATTTCAGAATAATTATGTTAAAGTCAGGAATGATATTTAAAAAGATTTACTGAGTTGGGACAAATTACAACTGTCATTACTGGGTAGAATTTCAGTAATTAAAATGAATGTTTTACCTAGAATGTTATTTCTATTTCAGACAATACCAATATTGACAACTGATATACCATTTAAACAATGACAAAAAGATATTTCTAAGTGTGCATGGCAAGGTATTAAACCAAGAATAAAATATAAACTCTTACAAGATACTAAAGAGGTGGGTTAGATCTTCCTGATCTAAAATTGTATTTTGATGCTTGTTGTTTGGTATGGATGAAAGACTGGGTGACTTTGAGAAATAGGAGGTTATTGGAATTAGACATGATTTAAGAGTTTGGTGGCATGGTTGTCTATGGTATGATAAAGTAAAGGTTAATATTGATTTTAAGAATCATTTTATTAGATATGTCATATTGAGAGTTTGGAATAGATATAAACCAAGATTGTCTCCTAAAATTCCTTTATGGCTGTCACTTCAAGAAACTTTTTACAGAAGAGAAATGACAGTCAAACAAGCATGGCTGACATATGCGAATTTATTGATCTTTTCTGAAGGAGAACCTAAGCTGAAGAGGGAAGAACTGGAAGATAATACCTGCCAATGGTTTACTTATGCACAGTTGTTAGAAAGATTTAAATTGGACAAGAAGAGTTATGATTTTACTTATGAGAAAACTGACTTTGAATTGGCTTTGTGTACTAATGATGAACATGTTATTGCCAAGATGTATAAACTTCTATTGAAAATGAATAAGGAAGATGTATATGTTAAAGACTGTAAGTTTAAGTGGGCAAAAAAATCTGGATATAATATAATGTTGGATCAGTGGGAGAATATGTAGAGTGAAGGCTTGAAGTTCACACATAACTACAATCTGAAATCAATTTTTTATAAGATGATGTACTGTTGGTATTTAACATCGGATAAATGATCTGTATAAAGGAATGTCAAATATATGTTGGAAATGTAATCAATGTGAAGGTACTTTTTATCTTCTTTGGTGGATTTGTAAGAAGGCTGAGAAATACTGGGATATGATATGTCTTTTTATTCGTAGAATTTTAAAAATGGATGTACAATTGAAACCAGAGGTTTTTCTTTTAGTTATGATGGCTAAAAAGATTGAAAGAAAACATGGGGCTTTATTTCTTTATATGATAACAGCAGCGAGACTTTTATATATGCAGAAATGGAAGGACTTACAAATATCTACAACTGAAGAATGGATAGGGAAATTAATGAAATTGGCGGAGATGGTGAAACTGACTACTTTGATTAAAGAAAAGATTTTGACTGGCTTTGTTTCTACTTGGAAACTGCTTTTGGACTTTTTACTTGAAACTGAAAGAAATGAAACTTTAATTTTGGGGTTTGATGAGTGAGATTTTTTATAGTTATAGAAATACTTTGTATTAGTTTTCTAAAATATTTTTCACCATTATAGATATACTTTGTACTACTTTAAACATTACAGTAAGAGGTGAATGTATTATATATTTGTACCTGTACCAAAGAAAATTGGAAATTATCCCTTTTCTTTTCATTGTTCTTTTCTGTACTTTAAACTTCATTCTTTTTCTGATATTTTCCTTTTTTCAACCCGTTTTTCCTCTACTTCCTTATATGTCTTTGTTGAAATTGAATAAAAGTTCTTTAAAAAAATGTGAAAAACAACCTAATCCTAACTAGCATAATGTCCAAATTATGAAGCATATAACAGAAGCTCCACCCTTTATTATTTGTATTGTGACATTGTAAGGGTTGGAGTTTGCATTGCAACATACATTTCATCACTTGCCCACCTTACCTGCCTCCTTTGATCGCACAAGACATGAAACATACAAAGGCTAGTGGGTACAACAGAACACTTGATACTTGATAATTCCTTTGAGGGATCTAAGAAATTTTATAAGAACTGAATTTGGAAAAACCGAATGATTCAAAATAGGAAGAGAGTGAGAGAAGGGCATACATTTTCCTGTATCTGTTTAATTTATACAGAATGGTAGAATTAGAAGAAATGACAGCAGAAGTCAAAAATGGAAAAATCTGGATTAATGTTAAATATTAATAATGTCAAACCATGTGTTTACTAAAATAAGATATTCATGGTGAAGAAATGAAACTGGTAGATAGTTTGTTTTCTTGGGCTCAAAAATTATCTATTGTCATCTTTTTGAAGAAGTAAAATTAATACTTGGAAGGAAGAAAATAACAAATATATACAAGATCATGAAGACTATCAGAGACCAGGATAATTAGAGCAAAGGTCTTTCCAGTGGTAATGCACAGCTCTAAAACTAAACATTGAGAAAGAAACAAAAAGAGAGAAAGAAGAGGAGGAGGAGGAGGAGATTATACCTTCAAACTACAGATTTAGAGATGGTTACTAAAAAAAAATAATGAAACAAACAGTCCTGGACCAATAAAGGCAGTGATCAGCAACCAGAAACTCACTTACTCGAGCAGCAATGCAAGCAGGTCTTAGAAAAAAAATTGCTTGGCAAGGTTGATTTAAGTAGAAAAAGAAGACAACAATGGATAAGGTGGATAGATAGGATCAAAGAAATTACCAGAACGACATTGGAAGAACTACAAGTTATAAACAACAGTCAAGATAGTGAGCATTTGTCCACATAGTCACCAATAGTTGAACCTGACTAGTGATACTTAACTATAGGCTTGCTCCAAAAATAAATTACTTGCTAGCACATAGGTTGGCAAACTTGTGCCCATTAGATGATTGGACTATAACTCCTGTAATCACTGGTAATTCACAATAATGCTTGGGCTGCTAGAGCTATAGCTCAAAAGATCTGGAAGGCACTAGGTTATCTACCTATGAAGTAAAGGAACAAGAAATACAGCTTGATCTGTTAGGAAGGAGAATCTGTTCAAAAAGAAATGAAAAACTGGAATCAATTTTAACATTATGCAATATTGGCATGTAGCTTTAGGAAAGGTAACCTATCTCAAAACACCCCTGACACTTTCTATTGCCAATCCATGCATTAGCTGGTATTTGTAAAAGTTTAAATTGCTGGTGCTAACTCATCAGGTCTTGCACATGCGCACACTGCTTATTTGGAAAATCTGCTCACAGCTCATCCGCTTGTGCACTCAACCCAATCATCTAGCCAGGACCATCTAGTACCTCCTTGATCTAGAACAGCCACACCACAACTGAGAGCTGTTTCTGACCTAGGGCCAGTCCACTGGAATCAACTTCTTCATAATTATGCAATGTGATCTATAAAAACTTCAAATTATGTTAAAACTTTCCTTTTTCATGGATGTTTGTGAGTTGGTTTAATTGTGTTTTTTTATTGTATTTATACCCTGCTGTAATCTACATCAACTCCCCCCGTCCAGGTCCTGATGAACATCATCAACCAGCATGATTAATGCCACTTCTGGCCATGCCTGGACCTGAATCAAGACTGAAAGGAGTACAGATAATCCGCTTCTTCAAGAGTACTCTGCAGGTGGCCCACCATCACTTCTCAATAACGTGCCTGAAAAAGGAAAGTTTGAAGACAGGGTGATTGTTGTCTAAAACTGCCAGATCCAAGAAAGGCTTCTTGAACAGGGGGCATACCATCACTTCTTAGAGGCTGTTGGCAATACTTCTTCCAACAAAGAAATATTGATCTCCTAGACTTAGCTCAGCAAATTCCCTCCCAATCCCCATGGCAACCTGGAGGAGCCAAGAGAACATGTGTCAAACCTACAGATGGCAGACATCATACTTCAGAAGAGTCTCTCCACTTCATCACATTCCACAGACCAAAAAAAGTCAGAGGTGTTATTGCAATACACTGCTCCAAGTACTACCAGCTGCCTATGAAAAGTCTGGATTACAGCAATTTTCAGTAACTCAGACAGCAAAATCTATACACTACTAAAACTCTCCTGTCTGTTTGTAACCTTCAATTAGCCAAAAAGGTGCATCATAATGCAACGATTTTTTGAATGAAGGTACCTCAAATCAGCTAACTTAAGGAATGCGTACAAAATCTGGGACCCATTACTCCTGTGTAATTGGAATTTCAAGGATCTTCACACCAGATGTATTGGCAAAGTTGTGGCTGTTGTAGCGCTGCTGCATCGCCACGGTCAGGTGATCGTGATTTCTGACACTTCCTGCCAGCTTCATACAAAGTCTATGGGGAAGCCAGCAGAAAGTCAGAAATTGTTCCCACTACCACTGGTTTTTCGCCCGCCCACCCATGGTCATTCTGTTGATCTCTTTAGGTAAGTAAATTTTGACTTATTATTGAAGTATCTTCATTCTGGTCACATCAGACTGCACTACCTTTCTCTCAAAGGATGACACGGTGGGCCAGAGATTGTCTAGTGTGGCACTAAAATTAAGTATTAATTTTATGCAGAAATGTATTTTATTTAGAAGTAGGTTTTATTTACTGTTTTAAACATTATGGGCCATTCAGGTTATTGAAGCAATTTATTTTAGTTATGATTTTAAAATGGATTGAGTTACTGTATTAATTTTTTATATTCTATAAAATATTTTATGAAAAAGTTGAAAAATGATTAAAATACCAACTTTTCATTTTCTATCACAGAATGAAAATAAGATCAACTAATCTTAATTTGCTGAGATGAACTGTATCAGGTTTTTTAAATCAATACCCAACTGTAAACACAGTTTTTCACATTCAAATTATTACCCTAAGCCACCAAGAAAATAATAAGAAATAAAATAGGCATAAATAACAAACAGATCTTCCAACAAATGCAGAAAATTCAAAGACATTTGCCACTGATAAAAAAGCATTTACTGAAAAATAAAAATAAATAAATAAGTTTCACTTACTTTGAGTTAGACTATGGTGGAAAGCTGCTGAGGTAGATCCCGAGGTGGTTGTCACTCCAGCCGTGTCTGTTCCAAAGCTAAGAAGCTCCAATGGAAACTGAAAGGGCATAGTCACCGGAACAAGGCTCCCCAGCATCCCAAAAGGAGTCAATGGAGCAGATGTCACATTCTGACTGGTTACAGACAATGGTGATGCCATGAGAGTCAAAGGTGAAGCATTTGCCAGCAATGATGCACCTGTTGTTGACTGCAGAGAGAGATGTTATTTTTAAAACATTTTAAAGCTTTTTGGAAGCAACCCAATAAATTATTTAAGCATGATCTGCTCTCACATTCATTAGAATCAACATTCTATAGCAAAGCTTATTCATTTCTTATGTAATTCATGATATAATTCAAGTGGTAGCAAATGTTGGTTGGTTGTTTTCTTGCAATTAAATATAACTGACAGTGCAAGTATGAAGGCTTAGTCTGGTGAGGTGGCAACCACGGGTTCCCAAGCTAGATAGAAACATTACATAATCATAGTTCAGCTGGCACTTAAGGCCATCAAAACCACCACCAAGCATTACTTAACTTGGAAAGATGGGAGGAAAAAGTCTAGAGTTAGGAGAAAAAGCTCTGGAACACAGCCGTATAGAATGTTGACTTCTTTGCCACACATAGGACAAATCTGTAAAAAGTCTTTATTCTTGTCCATAACAAAGATTCTACATGCATTGAGTTGCTTGTGAGAATCTTCTACCAGGTTAGGCTTATTGCTGAATAAGGGGTTGTTTCTGGAGAGGCAAGATTTACTACCATTTCATCCTATAAAGTCTAACAGCTGGTTTGCTCTTTCCTACTCCTATCATTGAAAGCCAGTCTGGTGTAGTGGTTAAGGCACTAGGCTAGAAATTGGGAGACCATAAATTCCAGTCCCACCTTAGGCACAAAGCCCAGTGAACCTTGGTGTTCATTCCTAGAGGAGGCACACTGACTCAAATTGCCCACTTAGAATGTTGTAGAACCACTGCAGAACAGTTTTCTCCATACCCAACCCTCACAGGTGGTTCAGAAAGATACCAGGTCTCGACACAGGTAATCAGCCAGAATAATTTGCTGTTTCTGTCCAGGTGTGAACTCCTGAAGAGAAACAGGAATCAATTACCTGGAAGGTGTCCAGATAATCAGTTTCCTCTAGGATCCTATGTAGGTAAAGCCCCACTACCTTCTCCAACAATTTCCCCCAAATGGAAGGTTAGAGATTGGATGGAAGTTGCCCAAAATGTTTGGACTGAGAGATGTACTGTTCTGGAGGGAGCACACCATTGTCTCCTTCAAGGCTGAAGGCTGAAAGAGGCATTATCAACCATGCTATGTGGAGTCAGGCAAGACATGATCCATGCTATGAAAAACTCTATTCCCTTCCTTAATTTATTTAAGCTCAAAAGAATCCAAATGGGCAACAAGAAAATATCTCCCAGTACCCAAAATGATACAGGTCATTTGGAACAGGACTGGTGGACAAAAGAAAGACACAGTTTTTCTGTGTCTTTCTTTTATCCATCGGTCCTGTTCCAAATGAGCATTCTTTGCCACTCATATCACCATCGTATATTGCCAAACAGATATGCAGCTATGTTTGGTCACATTCATTCTATGTTTTCCACCACCATTATTTTAAATATCTCTTCAGCTGCTTTACTTCCCTGAACTTCTTAGAAAGCAAAGGAGCAGTTGGGGATCTGAGGATACCACTCGGAGACAATCTTGTCTGATATCCTTGTCACCTGCAAATTCCATAGGGTGACTAATAGCATAGTGGGTCTGCCTGCTTGATTTCTGAGAAAGATCCAAGCACTTCACAAAGCTATTATGATCCATCTAAGTTGGATCATTTTATTCAGTTCTGCTCTGCTCCTGTAGAGGTCCAATATGTCAACAATATGCATGTGCACTAATAAGTGATCCAACCATGCAATGGAATGGTAACAGTGTCCTCCATCTTCAGATCACATCACCACATAGCAAGTCTAACATGTGGTCACTCAGATGTCTTGTGGCAGAGATCACCTGAAAGAAGCCCATTATCACCAAGGAAACTATGAAATCCTGAACAGAACTGGAGCCAACCTCCAATGCATTGGGACTGAAGTCACCCAGCAATATAAGTCTGGAAGATTCCAGTACCAGCTCAGATATGAGCTCTAGAAGCTCGGGCTATTGTGAGGCTATAGGCTGTACACCAGCAGCAGCCCTAGCCTGTCCCTCAGCCCAAACTGAACATCCAAGCTTAAGCCCAATTATCTGCAGGTCTAACAAAAATCACTGACATATCCCCTCCATGACTATAGAAGAAATAGGGAATGGCCTTGAAGGACAGAAGGAACAGCTGCTACCAAGGCAATGGTCAGATGAGGGGTATGAGCCCAGGCCAAGAAAGTAGCACAAGACAATGTCTCAGACAAGCCCCTCCCTAGTTCACATGAAGATAAACCGAGGAAGGGGGAAGCATATTGAGACTTGCAAGGTTCTGTTACTATAGCTGTTACAATAAAAACAGTCCTGATTTATATGACATTGGTTGCTTAATCTGGTTTATCTTGCTGGGCTGACAACAACCTTGTAGTCACAGCTGCTGTAGTATCCAAAACCTGGGAGGGCAGCTTTTGGCCTGGGCAATAGTCTCATCTGCACCCAACAAGGTTTCTGGTCTACCATAAGTGGATGTGGACTTACTGCAAACTAGCCTGGCATTTATTAGCAATAATTGGATAGCAAGGTTATCAGCAGTCCCATCATTACGACTCAGGAAAGAGGCAGAGGAACTTGAAGTAGGGACCAAATTGTGCCCCCCGCAGTTAATGGCCAGTGCCCAGCCTCCCATGAAGTAGCTCATTCCTGTGAAAATTAGTTCCCCTGCATATAAAATTCCCTGATGCTTTATTGCCTCCACCAACATTTTAAAGAAGTTTTTGAAAACTTACTTTAGACTGATTGGTACAAGCAGTTGTGAACAGATGTTGACAATCATGGTCGGTACAGTTAGATGGTAGGGTTTTTTGGGGGGGGTGTCAATCCCACCAGGAAAGTAAGACAGCAGGGATACCAGGTTTATAGATTAAGATTTTATAGCTGGGTATTATTTACAATAAACAAACAAACAACACACTATATATGGATTGTATTGTTTTTGTGTTGTTTTGACTGTTGATACTTTTGGTTTATTAATTTTTACTATGGTTGGACTGTGCCCTGCTTGGGAGCACGTTATAAATCCTTTTCTTTTTGTTCCTTCTTTAGATCCAAATGTAGAAGTCTACCAACTACACATAAAAAAAGGATTGGTCACCTGGAATCAAAATCCTACTCTTGCTCATCCACCCCACACATCCACTCACCAACTATAATAAACTATAACCCTTGACCCATTAGCTCTCACCTAAACCTTTCTTCCACAGTACTCTACTCCCACTATGTTTATGAGCTAGACTCCCCTCCCTTTTTGATCTCACCCTAGGGGAAGCTTTCTAAAGGACTGTTGCAAATGTCCTTACACTTATAATGTACTAGTTCTCCCATGACAGCCGCTGCCACACTAACTAGTGGCTTTATCCTCCCCTCTCCCTAGTTGATGAGTAATCCTAACTTTTTCTGTCAAGGATAGCTCTCTACATGTAGTCTATAATTATTGATGCTTGAGCTCAGTAACAAGTTATTACCTTCTTTACCTCATTTCTTAACTCTTGGTATGGCTGAAGAAAGCACATATTTTTACCAAAATAAAACTGAGAGGGGCTTACAATCTGATTTGCATGAAAAAAGGTCATGAATATTTAACTGCCTTTCATTTTCATTACTGTATGAGAAATCTGAATATACAACAGAAGCCTTCAGACTGTTTAATGCCCCACCAATCTTCATGTAAAGTATGAATCATATTCTCATGAATTTTTTGGAAAAGTTTTGATTTTGCATCTACGATTTATTGATTTACTTGGAGGATCCTACTCTCCAACACTGATCGAGTTCAAGCAGCTCTTCAGTGCTTTCATAAATACAGCCTCTCCTAAGCTAGAAAAACGCATCTTTGAACTGCCACTGGACTATTTTATCATGTAAGTTAGAATGTTTCTTACCTTATGACCTACCTCCAACCTCCATTCTCCACCCAGAAAACTTCAGCATCCCTTCCTTGACACCTAGCTAATCCTAAGTCTCATAGTTCTAAGGCCAGAACAGAAAGTCTTTCCTTAACTGATGAAATTCATACTCAGCAAAAGCAGGACCCATAAATGCAGGCTTGGATAGATGACCTTTGGGGAACCCCTTGTTCTCCTCTTCTTTTTTGGGGAATGGGAAGAACTGTACCCAAAGTCATCTAGGGAACTTCCACAGCTGAGGGTAGATTAGAACCTGGGTCTCCTCAGTGTCAGCCCAACATCTTAATCACAGCTCTCCTTTGTGTCAACACATGCCTTCTGTCCTCTCATGGCCTTGAAAAAAGTTATGAAATATCCCCTTTGACTGTGAGAAGTAGAGAGAAAGCTTAGCACTTAAATCCTGGACAGAGAAAGAAAAAGTGTTTTGATTGCTATATACTGTAGTTTCAATCTAGTCTGCAATAAAGTAGCTACTTTAGACAAGTTAAGGTTTTTTTTTCAAGAAACCAATCATGAATAAGCAGTCAGTATGTGATGGCTGAGATGTTAAGCTGAGCTGCGGGGGCGGGGGAGGAGAGAACACAAGCATCTAAAAGGGGGGATCTTGTGATGGAATGGAATTATGAAGGCCAGGCTCAGGGAGAAAAACATTTTCTTTCATCTCCTGAGGAGCGTGGGAGATACAAGAGGAT